ACCCCCTATAATAAGGAATAATTCGTTTTTTTTCTTGATGTTTTGACTCTGTTTCTGTGTTCTAATTTTAAGTTCCTCAGTTTTGTGATATGTAACTGTAATGGAATTGCAAGTTCATGGAGTGATGAAAACAATGACTTGGGGTATTTTTGATGCCTCTTGGTGCTACAATAGCAAGGTATGGCTGTGGTTATTGCTACACAAAAAGTGTTAAGGGTATTAATTTTTTAATTTTTTTCTTAAACAATGTCTAAAAATATCAGTTTATTGATTAATTTTAATTTATTAACTAATAAATATCAATTATTATATTAGTTATTATTTAATAATTATATTTATTAGTTATTTTTATCAATCAAATTAAATATAATCAATATTTTTAAAGACAATATTTTACAATTTTTGATAGCCTTAACACTTAGGTTGGTAACCAACCCTGCCCCAAATCCGCTGATCCTGCCTGGTTTTGTCTCCCTGTTTCCTCCCAATTCTCGGCCTGTGCCATTGGAGTTGCTGGGCAACTGGTCTCGAAACTCAGTAGTGAGTCCGCTAACAATAAGTTGTCATCAATACATATGTAGAGTTCGAACAGAGATTCTGATTCAGGTTTTCAGGTATTTGCTTTGCTTTTGAGGCCAAAACCGGATCACAAGTCCAGATTGTACTGGAACATCTAGTACTATTTGGTGGGATACACAGTTATCGTTCTCAGCATCAACATATGAAAGGGATTTGATATCCTGAATCCCGAGAAGAAGTGGAAGAATACTTACATTGGTATCAATGTGGCTTCGGCTTTCATTTCTGTTCTCTTAGAAGCTTATACATTGGTTGTTGTGTTGAAGACGAAAAGGTCAGAGGCAAACAGAAAGCATCTGCAAGAAGTCAATGGTGCAAGTGGGTCTCGTGAAGATCATGTTTAGAAGGGGCAGCCTCTTTTGTTTTTTGGTGGTTTTCTTTACCTTTCCCTTGCTTACCTATTGTTGCAACCTCATACTTATGTACCTATCAGAGCAAGGGAGTTTAGGACTAGGAGTACTGACGCATTATAGAGAGCAGGTTCTAGGGTATCTGCATGTGTCTGTACATAGGATTCTACATGCTACTTCCCTCTATCTGTTCCATTTCTTGCATACTTGCTTTGTTATACATTATACAGATTTATGCACTCTTTATAAGACCTTAACAAGGGGACAACTCAAGGCCAAATGTCTATTAAAATAGGTACTAAAGTAATCCATCATAATGTAACAAAGAAGGCATCATGTAATGTTCCTGATAAGAACAATAGGTATGAGAAAATAATAGGCAATTTTTCTGATGTTCATAAACTATAGGTACTTCCTCAGTCTGATAGCTCCAATGCCTCGACAAATGCGTCCTTCAGGAAAGGGTTTGAAGCTGCAATTCTTGGAGATGTGATGTCGAAATTTTTTCCAGATCTGATGCAAAGGAAAATCCCAATCATGTCAATATAATTATGTATTTTCAAATAATCTTTAATTCTCTAAGTCTGAATTGTACCGTAGTGTAAAACAAGAATTATTAGATGGGAGAAGGAGCCCTCAATATCAAGGGATTCGCCCCCATCTAAGGGTTAAAGTTGTGCAATTTGGAACAATTTAGATTGCACAGTACTTTTTTGTTGATAGATTATGGAAGATTACTTGTCCTCGCTATTAATTTAGTCAGAAAATATGCATGATACTTATTGAGGGTTAGGTTAGCTACTTACGGATCATACACAAGGCCTCCAGCTTCTTTAACAATCACAATACTAGCTGCCACATCCCTGATCAAAGAAGCACACCTTATCAAAACCCGAGCACTAAATTAAATTTTGGTGAAATGGTGAAAGTGTTACCATGGTCCCCCATATCCAAGACTATAGAAGAGATCGAGCCTTCCACATGCAATTCCACAGAGGTTTAATGCACAGGAGCCACTCATCCGAAGGGATCTAACCTGTTAAAATAAGAGACAGCT